ATCTCTTCTCCCAATTGGTGCAAACAGTGTCTGAGTCTGAGGGAGCCTCTTTAGGTCAATGGGCACTCTTGTTCCAATGGGAGCTCTTTGTCTGATTGGAGCTCTTGGTCCACTCAGAGCTGGCAGAGTCTTTTAGTCCACTTGGAGCTCCTGGTCAACTTGGAGCTGGCGGAGTCTGTGTCTCAGGGAGCAGCTGTGATCTTGAAGGATGGTTGTGTTTGGGGGATGTGTGTGTCTGAGTATGTATGTGTGCATATACTATGTGTGTATGTAGTGTGTATGTGCATTCATGTAAGTAAATGCAGGCACACACATGCCACGGCATGCATGTGGAGATCAGAGGACAACTCAGGTCTCCAAACTTACACAGCAAGCACCTTTACCTGCTGAACCATCTCCTTGGCCCCCAATGTTATTCTTAAAATCATGTTATTCTGAAAAAATGATAATAGAATTTGATATTTAATTCTTAAATAATCAATGCAATCACATTTTCATTCCTTCTATGGGATAATTAAACAACTCTTAGGTGGGAATGTTAAAGCTTTAATAAGATGTAAAAAGTGCAAAGTCTGTTCTACATGTTTTTATGTACTTTTTTTTTAAAGGAATGTTGTAGAGCATGTATGCACTATGATCTATGCTCAGAGAGTCTGTGAACTGCAGAATATTCTTAAAAGACACAGAGAAAACAGGGAGATAAATAGATAGATGGTAGAATAATGGTGGCTGGGTTGACCAGAGGGTACACTAATATTTATCACTGTATTTACAATCAGCAATAACTTTTTGTAAGGAGGAATACCATCAAAAAACAGATTCTGAAGTTACTTGTCTATATATTTTAAATCAGGCTAAGGGACAAAAGAGGTGAAGCAGGAGAGTACAAAATCATATGCAGCATATTAATTGAAGACATGCGTGGTTACAGACAACTGGGATCTGAATGTTTACTGTGAAAAGAGGTTACAAGGCAATAGAGTTTGTTTCCCATTATTATTTTGAACAGCAGGGTGGAGAGGCTGCTATCTATAGTCTTTTTCAATGAGTCTGCAGCCTGAGGAGGGGATGTTGTGTGCTAGGCAGGATGTGAGGGTGGGGAGATTTCCATACTCTACACAGCACACGCACCTACTGGGTAATTCCCCAGGCCTAAAATATAATCCACAGTACTGTCATGTTGGGTGCTGCGTGGTGGGTGGCGTGGGATGAGCTGTGGTTTGCCTTGGGCAGTAGGACTTGAGGAAGCCAAAACTTGATTTCAACATCACCGTCTTGCTGTCTGGAAAGACCACAGGTACCTGAATCTTCCCCGAGGGTCAACATGCAAATCAGCTCGCTCTTGCCTGGGGGCTGAAAGGAAAGAAGCTGGTATACAAGACAGCTGCAGCTGATCAAAAGAATTGTGTAGCTAAATATTATGCTCCAACTGTCTCCCTCCTCTTCCTTCCTTCTGCCCTGCTCAGCTGGACTCAGCTGGACTCGAAACCAAAATTCTTTCCTGCTCATCTGAGTCATAGGACTCTTCCCTGAATTTCCTACTCAGCTCTATTCATGCAATGTGAGATATCCCACCACAAGTCTTATGTTTATTTATTTGGTGTTAACACTGAAGAAGGCTGCATCTAAACACACACACACACACACACACACACACACACACACACACACACACACTCACTCACACACACAATCACATTAGAGATAAAACAAGCTACTGAGAGGTAGAGATGTGAGCAGTCCGGGATCTGGTATAAAATGATGATTGCAAGTAAATAATTTAACTCTTGCAAAAAAAAAAAATCAGAAAGTGTAAAACATTAACATTGATTAGAAGTGATTTTAAATTTCATTTACTAACTTGATTTTTATACCAAAATATGAAACACATTTATAACTAGATTTGTATTTGTTTAGATTTTGTTTTTTACCTTTATTTTTATGTGTATAGGTGTTTTGCCTGCCTGTACGTCTGTGCAGCACATGATTGCAGTGTCCTCAGATACCAATTGAGGGCATTGAGTTCCCTGGGACTGTTGCTAGAGACTGTTGTGAGCCACTATGTAGGTACTGGGAATTGAACCTGGGTTCTCTGGAAAAGCAGCTATTGCTCTTAATAGATAAGCCTGCTCTCCGGTCCCAGTTAGATTTGTATGGTACAAACGCCCTTAATTCCAGCATTCGGGAGGCAGAAGCTTGAGGATCCCTGTGAGTTTGAAGCCAGCCTGGTCTACATAGCAAGTTCCAGAACAGCCAGGATTACATACTGATACCCTGTCTCAAAAATAAAATAAAATAAAACAAATAATTTTTTTAATTAAAAAAGAAAACAACTTAGCACTAAGCTCCCTGGCCATTTCCATTAACACTAACAATAACTTCTTCTCTTCTTCTTTCTCTTTTTCTTCTTTTTCTTCCTCCTCCCCTGCCCCCTTCCTTCTTCTTTTCTTATGTGTATGTGTGTATACCTGTGTGAAAGTATCCCACATGTGTGTGGGTGCCTGTGGAGTCCAGAAGACGGTACTGGATCCCCTGGAGCTGGAGTTACAAGTGGTTGTGAACTGCCTGATGCACGTGCTGGGAAGGGAAGTCAGGTCTTCTGGAGAGTAACAAGCACTCTTAATCAGTGAACCATCTCTCCTGCCCCTACCACTGACTTCTGATCAAACTGAAGATTTCTGTTAAGGGATACTTTATTCTTTTACTTTAAATTAGAAATTTATATGCTTTAACAATATTACTTTTCGTGTGTGTGTGTGTGTGTGTGTGTGTGTGTGTGTGTGTGTGTGTGTGTGTGTGTTTTCCCTCTGCTGGTATTCCTTAGAGAATCACCCCTCCCCACCCTCAGTCCTACCCCACCCCAAATCCAGGAAGATCTAGAATTTCACAACCAAATTCCAGTGTCTTGGCTGTATTGACTCTGGTCTGTATGAGCACCTCCCCAAGCTAAGCCAATGACTGAAGATACTGATGTTACCAAACCAGCTGGGTAGGGTCCTTTTGCTCCCCCCAGATAGAAATCACAGGTAGTCATAGAAAAGCACTCAAGCTCAGGTCTTCAGCAGCTCTTGTGTCCCTAAGCATTTGACAGCAGCAAGCAGGTGGGAGCAGCAGCTGGTGGCACCCTCTAGTGTTACAGCTCCCATGCAGGCCTCTGGTAGTGGGACCCTTTGCCCTACGGGTGTTACAGCTCTTGTCTATGCCATAGAAGTTGGGATTCCTCAGCTCTTAGAAGTGACCAGTATTACCGTTTCCAGGCCTGGTCTGTCTGAGACACTGGCCCTAAAGGCTTGAGAGTTCTCTGGCAACTTGTCTAGTAACTAGTGCCTACAGTTTCTGCCCTGTTGATACTTCTTCCATCCCTCTTATTCCTTCTCAGGAAGGTCTCTCCAAATGTCCAGCCTCCTCTTGTCGCTATAGTTCCCATCACAGTTGCTGCCGTCTAGGAGGCAGCTACGGCTGCTCCTTCACTCTGCTCTTGCTGTCCGTCAGTCTTGTGGCTCTGCCCAGTTCTATAACTCAGCATGGAGGCTACTCTATGTCCTGGGCGCTGTTGCTCTGCAGCCTTCCCCGTTGCCGCTCCACTGTCTATGGCTTTCTCTTCCCATTACTAGCTCAGCTCAGTGCACTCCTAGAAGCGGTCAAGAACGGACCACTGCAGAGAAACCATTGTGGGGCCTAGTGTTGCATCACTGGGGAATACAGCCCAGCGGGTACTTACCAGTCCACTCTCCAAGTGAGGTTAAGAGCTTGCTTACATAGCTCAAGAAGGGTATTTGCACCAATCATAGCTAATTTCCCATGCAAATGAAGGCTTGTATCTGCACCAATCACAGCACCATCCCCTTTGTACGAGCTGCAGCAATAAACCACTGTGGTCAGTGCTTTCCCTTCCTAGCCTAGGTGGAAAGGGTTAAAAACCACCTAGCATTCACCAAGGTTTGTGATAGCAAAAGGAACGGTACAAATTGAACAGCCCTGGCAGGAGCTACACCCCCAAGAACCAGAGCAAGCAGCTACAACTGCTGTGTGGTTTCCTCAGGGCATCTGAACAGTGTTCAGAACAGCTGGTGGCTGGAGCAGGTGGCTGTTTAACCAACAGGTTTTTTTTTGCTCAAGGCAACTAAGAGAAGAGCAACAGTTGCAAATTTGGAAGTTAAGTTGCTCTGTAGTCCCTGTGATAATGAATGTAGAAGGGCTTACAGTGAGAACTTCAGAAAGCATATTAACACGAGCAATGAAGTTAACATAGTCCCTACCCAGAGTCCCACAGAGATGAAGGTCCTCCTCATCTGTATCACTGGGACTCTTCTTCTTTAATTAAAAATTAGTTTTCAAACTTAATATGCAAAGCAGTGGTCTCATTGTATGCCTACTCTGTCCTTATTCATCTCCTCCTATCCTCCTGCTCTCCTTTGCTTTTTGCTGGTCCCTTCCCCCACCTCCCCAATAGCCCCTTCTCCTTCAGGTCACCTGTGTTCATTAACCTCCTCCTCCTTCTTCTAGAGCTCTTCTCTCTTCCTCGCCTAGTTTCATGACCTTCATCTCTCACACCTCCCCACACATACAGATTTAAATCTAGGATTCACTTAGGAGAAAAAAAATGTGGCATTTGTCACATATTTTCTGAATCTGACTCATTTTTATACCATAGTGATTTCCAGTTCCATCAATTTTTCTGTAAATGTCATTTTTCTTTACTGCTAAATAAAATCCCATTATATGTATTATATACACATTTCTTTATCCATTCATCTTTTAATGGACATTCAGGCTTTTTCCACTTTGTCTTTCTGAGATGCTTTCTGGAACTATTGGGAAAAAAATCCTGTTCCCATGATAAAATGTCAGACAATTACTCATGGCAACCATTTTTGTGCCATAGAGGGCAGTTCTGGTGAGCAGAAGCCAACACAGAACCAAGGAATAGCAAGCAAAATTACAGATGTTTTTGTGGAGTATCTGGACCCCACAGAAGTACTTTGAATTGTTTTTTCCCCTTCTGCCTCTATTAAAATGCATTAAGTGAGACTTTCTCAAGTCATCTGTGGTTCCAGAGGCTCATAAAAATTATAATTAAAGAAGTGAAATATTACTATATTCTAACATAGGGGTGCTGTCTCATCCACTAAGACATAGGAAGAGGCAAAAACAGTTCTGATGGTAAATGTCCACCCACTTCCAGCCTTCAGAAGCCAAAGCTTAAAGAATCAGGGGACTGAGTTCTTGAGGTACTATAAATGTCTTCTTATCATCAGTCAGAGGGAAGAGTCCTGCATGCTTGTATTCCCAAGAAGGCAAGTAACAGGGGCTTTAAAGGCCAACTCATTGAGCCTTGGAAATGTGAAAATTTTATCTAAATCTCAGTGAGACAATAGCAAAAGCTTGTGGGAGAGCTGTTTGTCATCAGAGAGAAGGGGTGTCGTAACTGCAGTGACAAGGCAGGACTCTTGGAGTTGTGGGCAGAGATGTAAAAGTCAGTAAACAGCAGGGAGTGGGACCAGTGGACTCCCAAATGGCCCTCAGCTGGAAAACCTTGAAAACAACAAAACTTGGGACTCGAGTTTTCCACAAAGAAAAGAAACATTGTGTGTCTTCGTCACATCCCAAGGGTGCCAGCCCAGGATTACCAGTGTGATCATATTGGTCCCCGCCTCTGCTCCTCTTTCTTCTTCCCTCCAGAGTGAGCCTGAAGGGGTACAGCAGAAATCCAGCTGGTACCTGAGGGAGGAGGAGGGAGCAGGAGGAGGAGGAGGAGGAGGAGGAGGAGG